GTCGTGGTATTCGTTTTCAAGCCCAAGTAAAAAACAATCATAGACGCAAGGTCGGTCATGTGCTTGAAAGACTGCTTTGGAAAAAACTTGCACCGCCATTCAGGCAAAAGGACCAAGGCCCAAGCTTGGCGGTTTGGGAGCTTTCATGAGTTCATGTTGGCTGCTTGCTGAAGTTTGCAGAGCATCTTGGCACAATCCGCAAACTCTCTGACCAACCGCTGGTTGAGTTTCAGGATCTTGGCTAGGCCCTCTGCAGCGCTAGAAAGACTTGGCCGTTTCGCTGCGTCTCCCCACTGCGGCAAGTCAAAAGCCATCAGTTTGTGAATAAGCTCATCACCAGTCAGGTCTACCTGCACCCTCTCAAGCATGTCAGCAACAATCTCCCTCATTTCGCCCATGATGTTGCGGATATCTTGAATGGAGGCCCGAGTGCAGAGGTAATGTACTTTGGAACCATAAAATATCCTAAGTAAGCGGCAAGGCCGAAGTTGAATTTGAAGTGCAATAGAGGTTGAAGGGCATCTGATTCTCCTCGATCGTTTGCTACTAAGAGAACATAATAATACTATTCTGTGATTACGGCCTATGCTCAGGCATATCTAACTGCTGATAAGGCTCGGCTCTGGTGTCTCTATCTGCTCAAAAACCGTTTGCGTCATTGAGCGGCCATTTTGACCGTCAGAAGCCAGTGGAACTTGCTTGGCATCTCCCAGCACGTAGCCCTCAACAAACAAGAGCCGCATCCTTTGGCAAAAGGCATCTACTATTCCAGAAGTCTGAGCGGGGTCTGGATCATCTACATCGAAATTCTCCCGGAGAAAAGCGAGGCACTCTGTAGAATAATCACAGGTTAACCCACATCGAAACATGTTTTTGGGCGTCATGTCTTGCAATGCTGCTTGGGCCCTTGCGCGGACTTCTTTGGAGCCTCTTTCCTCACTAGACGCGTGGCAGTGGGCTTCAAACCCTGAACGAAAAAGATGAAATGAAGAAAGCAAGAGGTGTTCCTTGAAAATTCTCAACTTACAGGCCATGAGCAGCAAGGCACATCTGCCGCTTGCATCGCGCAGACAACGGCAGTGGCCCTCAGCATGCAGCAATACTTCATCATGGGGACCGCCGTAGAATCAAATCTCTGCTTCGCAAAAGAGAATGTGTGCATTACCTTATCCACTTCAAGCATGACCGAAGCATCAGAACACGCAGGGGCTGCAGGGACCGCATGGACGGCATGAACCGCTTGAGCGCGGAGGAGAGCTTTTTGGGCTGAGATCAACCTTGACTTCCACACTTCTGAATTCTGAATGTCAGGGATCAGTGCGTGTTTGGCATTGAAGAGTCTATCCCATTGTTGCTTGAAATGGTCATTGGCATGGAGAGGATCTTTACTTGCAATCCTCACTTGATGAGCAACGTCACAACTCACCCAAACGAAGTTGCAGAGCTCTGCCTTCCTAGACAGCAACTGACCGCATTTGTGGGCACTACCTCCCTGGTCAGAAACGTAATGTTGGACTTATGGAAGGAGCTCACTGACAGGTCTGTCTGGCTCCAGAAAAAGATTCGTCGCAATGCGGTGAACAGTTCCACGCGAATGCTGATGAATGCAGCTGGATTGCATACACTTCCTAAAGGGGGGGAAGTAGACAACAGAAAAGGGCATTAGGCACTGAAAGCCTCTGGGAATGCTGGCGCAGAATATTAGTCAATAATCATCACGGGGTTTATTAGTCAAAAACTCTTATTAACAAAGAAAAAACGTTTGTCCTGGAACGCACTTCGAAAGCCCCCCATTTCGTGGATAGTCGGCTGCCTAGCCTTGGCTGCAAGTGGTTGTGAAAACATCCAATCAGTCTACTGCAGCTTGCATCTTCTAGCACCAAAAAAAGCTTCAATCAATCAAATCAGTCAACAATCGCTTGCGCTGTTCTGGATCTTTTGCGAGCACGCTCATCAAATGCGCACAAAAGAGGCATCCTATAGCCCATGGTCCCTCACGACGTGCTGGCCGCTCGGCAAGCCAAATAGTTTGCACTGGTTTGCCCCAACACTTATGCCGCAAGCTACCAACAGAAGCCCATTTCTTTTGAAACTTCAGGAACCTTTCAGGGCATCCCAAGCAAGAAAAACTGTGGATGCAACGCTTTGGCCAAACAATTTCAACCCCTTGCCAACACCTGCCTGCAACGTGCACAAGATGAACAAGCATCAGTCCCTTGGTGTGCAGCTAAATGTGCTGTGGATGAGTCCGCAGCCAAACCCACGAGTTGCCAGTCTCGGTCCACTGATTCAGCAAGGGTCTCTGAGGCATCTGTGACAGCTACTGCTGGATGATCACTCCCAGCTGCAGCTTGCCTAGCTCGAGAAGAAGCTGGCTTGACACTGGCTCTCCCACGACCATTGCCTTTCACAGGCCTTGAAGGTTTGATGCCAGTGCGGGCTCCTTTTGGAGGTTTTATGCCCCAACGAGCTCCAAGATCGGTCTTGCCCATCAAAAAAAGTTTGTGCGCCAAAGTTTGTCATGCCAATGCTGTCTGAATTCCCAAGATTGCTAACGGTAAGTCAAATAATAATTTTGATGACCCCACGTTGTCTGGAAACTGCATCGAATATGAAATTTATCTTTTCAAACAGCTTGAAGGACCGCAGGAACACTTGGACCAGCAGATTTGCAAAGATGTAGCCAGCAGTAAGTTGTCATCGCATGAAACCACTGTGATTAAAATGCTTTGAATCTAGGTTGCCACCGAATGAGACAATCGAGCTATGATAGCTGCTCCAGGCCTTGAGGCAGGAGCTGGGCAGCAGCACAGCAGCTAATACCTGTGCAGTGTGTGGAATGGATTTTGGGTAGTGTTCATGCGGGTAGCTGCCGTGAACAAACAGCCCTGCATCACTTTGAGATTAAAATCGCCCGCCTACACACACTATTATTTAGTGGAGAACATGGGATTGCAAATGTTGGATGGCACTGACCATGGCCATGTCTTAGCCCTGCACCTCCGGGTACGTTGCCGAGCTGGAATGGGGCAGCGGCTGAGGCCTGCCAGAAATGGGGACTGCCTTCATGTCATAATCACTGACTGGAGCTGAGAACTCCAAGCAAATTATCAAATCAAATTCAATGCCAAATTCAATCAATTGCTAGCGCAAGTCTGCCGCCTCAAAGAAAAGGTGCCTGCATGCAGTGGTCACCTTAGAAGTGCCGGCTGAACCAAACTGGTGCTCGACACATGGCTTAACAAGGACTCGAAATCAAAACCTGGTTTAAATGAATTGAATAATTTTTCTGTAGCTGAGTAGCTGTTTCTCCAGTTTAGAATCTCTGCATGGACCACAAGGACCGCAGGACCCGAAAAAGCACTAAGAGAGGCCGGGCCAAGACATTGAGTGGAAAGCAACCGCTTTAAAGACGCACCAGTTTCTGAAATCACCAATGCGCCACATCAACTGCAAAAAGCATTCGAAACATGGGCAGAAGCGGGCAACTTCACACCAAGGGCGCCACTTTGTTGCTCCTAATTTGCCAATCTTGAGCTCTTTCAATGTCTGCACTAAAAGGTCTGATTGCACACAAGAACACAAACAATGGAGTGTCCGGCCATATTGCACGGCCAAACTAGCGAATAATTGATTGCTGCAAGAAGTTCAGCACTTAATTAGAGTGACTTGACAGCAACATGGATGAAGCTGAAATCACTGTGAGGAACGAAGACACTAAATTGACATAAATCAAACAACTGTGTCAGGCGCCCGGTTGGAGTTGCACCAAGAGCAGGCACAGTCTGCATTGAAAGTGGTCTCCCAAGACTTGGACCGTTCTGACAGATCACACAGCAATGCCTGCATGATTTCCTCTGCGTTCCTTACAAGCCTTCTGGCATTTGCGGCTTGTGTTTCAAACTGGCGTTTGGAATTGCAACTTCCAATCTGCACCTTTCTGCAAAAAACTTCCCCCAAGCCTAGGCATGAGAAGCGGTTTTCAATCCTGGAAATGAAAGCTTGTTTCTTGAAGCTGTGTGGCTTCTCCTCAGCCTGAGCCACCATCGCAACCGCCAGCAGCAAAACAAGCCGTAGAAGGCGGCGATGTGATGGGTCCTGCAAACAATGCATCCACATTGGGTGCAATCAAGATGTGACAACACACTTGCAATGCTGACATGGACTTGAACTCAACTGCGAAAGAAATGGCTCCGTTTAATGTTTATCCCTTACACCCTGTTACCCCATGCTTTGCCTCTTCAGCGAAGTCAACCGCAAGGACCGCTGGGACCGCAGGACCTGATGCAGGTGAGCGGGAAGCGAAATGTGTCATAAAGGGTTTCGACTCAAGAACAAGACCATGGCAATATATATATATAAAAATAATATAATTTAATATATATTATAGATCTGATATAACTTACATCAGTTATATTAATATGATAATATAATTTCACAACTATTCAACTTATGATTGATTAGTTCATGATTGATTAGTTCATGATAGATGACCATCTGAATTGCGTCTGCTCTCTGTGGGTATGCATCAAGGCTAAAAAATATCTTCTGACTCTGACGATGTTTCCCTATTATGAATTGTCATTTTAGCCAACCAACTATCGCGACAACCTTCCCACTGGTGTGCACCTCTGTGCGCGTTGGATGGCAAGGCCTGGCAGGCAAAAACCGATGAATGATTCAAAACGAAGAAGTAACCCTACTTTCTTTCACGGTCTGACTACAAAGTTGACTGCAAAGCCGCAGCGTACTTTTATCTTGTCGATTTCGTTTGTGGAAGATGGACCGCAGGACCGCTGGACATGCGACTGCAAAATCATGTGGTCGGCAGCGCAATTCCCAGCCCATCCATGTCCAAAAGCATGGTGTAAAGTCCCACAAACAAAAAACACTTGATTCGACTTTGAAACACGGTCATTGATCGAATGTGATTTTTTCAACAGGACTGCATCCACCTTGCAAATCTGCACTATCACTGCAGGATCCAAAAATCAAAGACCTCAGTTCAAGTTCCAGGAATCCCAACCGCCATCATTCTGGGGAGGGCGTGGCGGAGCGGGCTTCGCCTGCGCCTGCGCTGGCTGGCCCTGTGCGGCCTGTGGCTGGCCCTGTGCGGCCTGTGGCTGGCCTTGTGGCTGGCCCTGTGGCTGGCCCTGTGTGGGGGTCTGCGCAGCAGGAGCAGCACTGGCAGGTGGAACAGTTGACTGTCCAAAATGCACAGTGCTAGGTGGCCACCACTGTGTCTGTGGCTGAGCTGGGCCCCACTGTTGCTGTGCCTGAGGCGCAGCTTGGCCCCACTGAGCTTGTCCTTGACGTTGGCCCCATCCATCTCCATCACCAGATCCACCAGGTCGGACACCACCACCACGGTTGCCACGACGCTGATGAGCGGTCACAGCATCATCCATGCTGCCACTCTCCCTGAAAGTGCTGAAGCAGTAGTCAGGGCCCCTGTTGCCGCTGTCCATCATGCCAAGATCGAGGCCGCGTGGCCACCGATTGCATCGGGCCAAGTGGACCATGAACGGCCTCCCGCGAGCATCATCCATGCGCGTCAACCTCATGGCTAAGACATTGTTGATGTTCGCATGCCGAGCCACCATCGCACGGTCCTCAGAATGGCTGAATGCAAACATGGTTGAATTTTAAACAATGATACGATCAGAGATATTGGGCCCTGACCGCATTAAATGGACACAACATTTACACAGTCTTTATTCCCAAACCTTAAACTTATTATTAAATAGGGTGCAGCAATACAGCCAGTCCCCACCCCCCCCAAAAAATGAAATGATAAATAAGAACGCTTCAACTTATACTACAAAGCCTCCACTGCCATGCCATCCCAGAGCAAATCAAACTCTTCAGAAGTAGCTCCGGTCCACACCACCGTGACTTCCCTGCGTGATCCTGGCCTGCAATGCCACTCCTCGTCGACAAAGTCCCCCTTGAAGCATTCGCACTGCAGCAGGGTCATTGTCTCAGGTAAACAATGTTTAAATATCAAAACAAATATTCACACACATTCCTGTGATAACATTGGCATGTTTCAAATTTACCAATATTATTTACAAATTCAACATCGATCATCATTTCTCATAGTATGTCTGCTGTTGGATTATTATTTAATAAAGTCAAACATGCTTTGGCCCCGGCCAGCAAGACCCAAGTCGGTGTCACGTAGCGGCTCTGTGCCACCTGTGCCTCCTTGTAAGTCAAAACGTAGAACCAACCGCCGCCTTCTGCAGTAACCCACACACTGCGGGCACCGGGGCCAGGAACTGCGCCATAGTTGAAGAATTGGAGGGTTCCACGATCAAGGCGGTGAAGCATGGCCAGGTCTTCGTTCCGCAATGTCTGGCCAGATGTCACAGCATATTGGACCCCCGTCGCCTCCTGCATCTCGCGCACTGTGGCGAACCCACGCAGGAAGAAGCTTTGGCCCAAGATCCTCCTGTTGCCATCCTCAACACTGAGCGCCCCTTCCTCCCCCTGTGCCAAAGCATCCAAGGACCTAGGGGCCACTCGTTGCACCCCAATCTGGGTCCGATCCAAGAAGGCCTCAGCGAACTTCAGGACGTCCCTGCAGTAGAGGGCGACGTGCAACAGGTTGCCCTCTGCAGACATTGGCAATGCCCATCCAGCCCAATCAGCGCCCTGCCATGGTCGAAGAAAACATAGCCGACAAATGATAAATTTCAATGATAACCTGTTTGATAATCAATAAGTTTGATCAGAGTATTGGGAACACCAATTCTTTCAAAAAATCAACAGCCGGCTTCAGCTTTTTGCCCACGCAGTCCCGTTGCTCACGAAGGTTGTACCCCCGCGCAGCTCCGTTCATCATCCAGGGGTAGAGGAGGATGGGGCAATTGAACACGCCACCTGCACCAGCCTCTGCTTCGGTGAACTGCTCAAGAAGCTCTTGGACAGCACCAGCGACCTGGTTGCATGAGCATTGGTGGTTGAAATTTGGGACAATGGAAAACGGACCAATATTGGAAGTCAGCGACCTAACAAACTGGGGGAAATTAGCAATATATGGACCTGGAAGGCAGCAACCAAACAAACTGCAATGATTGTGTACTAAACGTCAAAGAAGGCACCCTGACCCAAATCCGGGGGATGGAGCTCAGGACCGGGATCCTCCGAAGTAGGTCTCGGGCTTGGTCGACCAAGGCGCCATCCGTCAGCTTCAGGTCTCAGTTTGCGGGATAGCGGATGGCACCAATATCATCAACTGCACATCAACTACATTATTTCCGTTTATCAAAAAAAGAGTTGTCATTGAGTTATAGGAAAATGATTGAAAAACGAACCATCATTAATTATAAAGCTTTGCTGGCGAAAATCTGGGACGAGGCACAGGCGCAGATCTCTGACTGCGACTCATGGGTTCTGATGCCGCCCCTGTAAAAGGAGCCAACCACGAAGTTGAACCCGGCCAGAGCCCAGCTAAAGTCGACCCCTGTGTCATACCGGCGGCGGAAGCCAGCCGGAGCCTGGGTCATCGTCACGGAGAACTTCTGGATGTCTTCCTGGCGCAGCATCAGGAGTTCTGCGCTCATGGCGGGCTGCTGGCTCAGAAGAGTGCTGACGCTCTCCACGATCTCGCGCTGCGCCCGCTGGTTGTGGTCAAACGCGGCCTCCACGAGGGGATCTTGGTAGTGGGACCGCTGGGACCGCTGGGCCAAGGACTGCACATCAGCCTCCTCAAGCTCCTGGGCCAAGAAGTCCTCCACATGCTGGGCCTGCTCTTCCTCCAGCGGGGCTGCAGGCTGCAAGGCTTCCGGCTCGCCGATTGGCAGCTCTGGCTGTGCCGCCGGCTGAGCAACTCCTTCCTGATCCGCCATCCTGACTCCACGCGCAATGACCGCAAGGACCGCAGGAACCATGTGACGTCACCAAGCCGAGAGCTTCTTTGGGCAAACAGGGGGCAGCAATGATGGTGTAAATAGCAATTGAGTGGCATTGATCATGGGCTATTTCAGGAATTTTCAGCCAATTTACAATTATTAAAGTCCAAGTTGGCACATCGTTGCTCCCAGTCATCCTGATCCCGGTCAAGGCTGGCCTGCAAAGGGGAGATGTGGCTTGGCACCGCAGAAGGCAACGGCTGGACAGGGCCTGGGCACAGAGCGATGGGTGAACTACTGGACCGTTGGACCCCTGGACTGGTGGAAGAGCAAATGACCTTAAATTGCTATCAAATTAAGCTATGATGTGGAAAAAACTCAAATGTGATACGGAAGCATCATTTGGATGCTCTTTAGCCTCAAATCTGACTGAGGGCAAGACCAAGGAAAGCGATGGCTTTGACTATGCAGTGGTGCTGGAACCAAACTGGCTACTTTAAGGACGCTAGCGAGACACTCACACAAACGGAAAAAAATAAAAAATATGCGAAATGCCAACGTAGATTATATCAATATCACCAATATTCTAGTTGCTGGTATACCTACCCCTCTGAAAAATATGAGTTCGTCAGTTGGGATGATGAAATTCCCAACTGAATGGAAAGTCATTCAAAATTCCATGGTTCCAGTCACCACCAACCAGTTATTGTTTTACCCACATTATTTCATACTACAACGATCAACCACAATATTTACCAGCACCCAGCGACTCGCCAGGTCGGCCGTCCGCTTCGAAAGGTTGAACCTGAGTTTAGGCTGCGAAGTCACTGGAGTGTCCCAAGTCCCTGTCCAGACCTTGAAAACTCCAAGTCCCTGAGGTCCAACAATTTTCGGCAAATCAGATTTATGATCTGCTTGGTGGTTGAAACAACCCCTCTGAAAAATATGAGTTCGTCAGTTGGGATGATGACATTCCCTAAATGGAAAAATAAAACATGTTCCAAACCACCAAGCAGTTCTGTATTCTTAGAGTTTCCAAATCTGAACTAAAGCCATCATTGCCAATCTTAGATACCCTGCAAAAAAATAAATTCTTGCTGGTTAGTAGATATTCCCATGAATACCAAAAGACTAAAGGATTAAAGTATCCATGTAAGATTGACCTAGCCATGTTTGATCTCATTTGTGAGGCAAGTCTGAAGCAAGACTCTGTGAGACGTCAGACTTTCTCACAAGATGTATAGATATTCATCCATAGAATGATTACATGTAAGTTAATCTACCCTAAACCTATCAAGTATTTTATACCAAATACAACCACATTGGTTAAGAACGGGATTCCCGAACGGATTCTGATATTCCCCAGTGAATCTTGAGTAGTATAATTCCATATAATTCCCAACAAAATCATCAACCAACAGGAGTTTTGAAGACAAATTCGAAACTTAGAGTTGAAGTTCATCCCAAACTAAATATCCCAATAGATCATAGATTCCCTTTTGTACCCCCCACCATGACCCCCCAAAAAAACTGTTCTTAGAAAAACAGGATTAAGTTGGACTAAGTAAAATTAAGTTGAGTCTAAGTAGAATTAAGTTGATCTTAAGTAGAATTGTTTGTTTGAACCGGCAAGAATGTATTGATGTCCAATGTGTGTTTCCAATAAGTTTGAAGGATTTTAATCCGAATTAAGCTGAATTAAGCCAAATTAATCTGAATTAAGCTGAATGCATGTTTGTTTGAAAGGTGAAAACGCTATGTTTCATAAGAACGCAGTCTTCAAAAATCAAGTGAATACCACTGAAGCCACCTTAGTTGTACTTAGATTTAACTTAATTCAGCTTAATTCAACTTAATTCAATTTAGTTCAATGTTTCATCACTTGATACATAAGTTCAACTAAAAGCTTTTGTTCGTAAAAACTTTTGTGTGTAAAAGCTTTTGTGTGTAAAAGCTTTGGTGTGTTAACAGCTTTGGTGTAAAAGTTGTGTTTGTGTGTTTACAAGCTTTTGTATGTAAAAGCTTTGTGTATAAAAGCTGTTGCATGTAAAAGTTTTGCGTGTAAAAGCTTTTGTGTGTCAACATGTGTAAAAGCTTTTGTGTGTAAAAGTTTTTGTGTGCAAAAGATTCTTGAATAGATTTTAAAGCAGAATTGAGCAGAATTAAGCAGAATTCAAGACTATTTTGCTGAATAGTAACTTAAAGGGAAATTAAGCAGAATCACGCAACAATTAAGTAAAATTAAGTATGTGTTTTTAAATACTAATTATAGGGGAAATCTGGCAGAATTAAGTAAAATTAAGTAAAATTAAGTATGTGTTTTCGAAAAACTAATTATAAGGCAAATTTGGCAGAATTAAGTAAAATTAAGAAAAACTAAACTAACTAGTTTTTTCAGATACTAAATTTAAAGGGACATTTGACAGAATGAAGTTGAATTAAGCAGAATTAAGCAGATGCTGTCAAATACTTATTTAAGCATTGGTTGCCTTGTGTTCAAGCAGGATTAAGCTGAATACTGGATGAAGTTTAGCAGAATTAAGAGATTCTGGAAAAATATTTATGGGTTTGTTGCGAAATTTTAAATGTTGCATAAAGATATATGAAAAATGCAATATTGTGATTTAAAAGGAACTTTGAAATAGATGGTTCAACTGTTTTCACGAAACGGGTTTTGAATAGGCTTAGTTGATACTGATGCATTCTTAAATGTGTTCAACTAGCACCTTGTACATACCATATGTTACAGTACATATTAGTAATGCATAAGTTAAGTATACTAAGTAACTATGTGAGATGTGTGCAGCTTGATGATCCAGTGCATATTTTTGGGAAATTCACTTCACAGTGCTTAATTAATCAATGCCGCTTAACACATGCCTCTAGATCTTTTGATGTAAGTGCTGATTAAGCATCTGGTCCCCACGCAAAATCTGTTCAATCGTAAGATGACTGAAACCTTGAAAATTCTTTGGTTGGTTAGTGCTATAGTAATTGGTGTTTTAAGGCCCTACATTCCCAGTGCATGTTTCAAGGTTTCAGAAGTTTATTTTTTGATATCTTTGGGAAATTGTACTTTAAGTAATTAATGCCACTTAATTCCACTTGACTTAGTGTTTTGGTGGTCTTTGGAAAAATGCAATTCATAGTAGTCAAATTCCACTTAAAAGCAACTTAATTCTACTTAAAATCAACCTAATTCTGCTTAACATCAACTTAATTTTACTTAATCCGACTTAATCATGTTTTTCTAAGAAAACGCTTTTTTGGGGGGGTCGTGGTAGAGGGGGTACCAAAGGGAATCTATGAATACATATTCCCTTTAAAAAAAAAACATCGCTACGGCCAATGGATTGGTTTAAGGGAAAATCTTAACCGGAAACCATAGATTTTTCCATTGAATGAATATGCGTTCCTTGTAATTTTTTCCTTAAATCAATCCATTGAAACATATTCCTGTAGGTTATTAAGATAGTAACTACTATATATTAAATATCTCTAGATATTCCCATGAACCTTGGGATATAAAATCTATAGTACCATCTGGTTATGACTAACATTGCCATGGAAAGATCCACCCATTTTTAAAAACCATGGTAAACCATCTATTTCTATGGGCCATGGCTTAACCATGGCTATGTTAGTCATAACCAGAGGGTATATCCCATTATCATCCCATTCTTCACCATTGTTAATCCATTGTTGAACCATGAAAAATCACCATTTATAGTGGTTAAATAACATAAAAACCAACAAAGTGGGACTATGTATATCTTCCCATGAAAAAAAAATCCCCCATCGGTCCCGATGGCGTTTCCCACAAGGGACCCGCGTGCGTTTCGGAAGCGCCAAGAAACTCGAATCACCAAGGACCCACTGAAGCCTCCCGTGAGTTTCTGCGCCTGGAGGACGATATCTGAGATGGGGTTTTCCTTCAAAAACCATGGGAATAGAGAGGGATTATATGGGGAGTTATAGGAATAATCAATGGGAATTTCAGGATCCAATTGATGGAGGTACGTTAGTACCATATTTCAGGCCATATTTTGGGGGAATATTCCCTGAAATTTAGGCCAAAAATATATGGTAGGTACCTCCAATAAATCGGTTCCTGTTGCATGGCCATTGAAATAATAGGATTTATAGGATTCCCTGGTGAATGGGAAATAACCCATAGGATCCTTGGTGCTGGTATATATGCTAACATTTGGGGTATATTGATGGGATCCATGTTACCATATATAGCAGCACCATGGATCCGTCATGGGTAATGGGGATATAATGAGATCTGTAGGGATTCAAAAAGGGGTAATAATGGGATTCATATACCCAAAAAATTGACCTGCAGCATGGTGGGATTGGGGCCACTGGGGCTTCAGATTTTGTCACATTTCTGGAATACACCCAAACCAAAAACATCGCATGTTTGGAGGTATGAAAAAACAACCATGAGTGGGAAAACAGGGGAATATGATTGGAATATCATGTGAATGTAATGGGAATATAATGGGAATATGATGGGAATTTGGTGGGATATAATTGATATAGTGGGGTATGTACATATCGAAATATAATAGAATTATATATATATATACATATTATAAATATCGAAATCTATTGACATGAAAATACAACGGAATATACACAATGAGATGTATGTAATGGGATTTATATCCAACTTAATATGCTATTTGAAAATGTCTGAATAGAGAATCGGTATACCTTTAAAATTTCCATGTTAATTGAGAAAATGATGATAAACCTATTAACTTTGGGGTCGCCTGTGTTCGAACAAACCAATTTAGATCTTTATATAGTTTCTATTCATTTTTGGTCTTCTCTGAAACTTTCACATTTTCGGAAACTTGAATAAGGTTATATATGTATACATATATACATATACATATACACATACATATACATATATATATATACATTGAATGTGGGGATGGTAGTGCATGTTGTGTCTGGACTCCAGTCCTAAATAGAAGTTTTGG